TATATATATATATATATATATATATATAATATAATAATATGCACAACATAACTATCAAACACGACATACAATAGAAGGAAGGTTTGTATTACCCAAATCTAAATCAAATATGGGACAGAAAACAGTCATGTACAGAGCCATGATCAGCTGGAACTCTTTACCGGTCCACATCATTCAGGAAAATTCTCAAGTATTTCAAAAGGTTGCTAAAAAAATATTTAAGTATTATAAAGTAAATTTGAACTGTGCCTGTGGCTACGTATGCATATGTTATTATGTTATTATGTACACTTATTTGTATTTACTTTTGTTTGGCCTTAGGATGGCGATAATTGGATGACCATTTTAGTTTTCACTTCATACAGCACTGTAAATTGCATGCATGAGCTGTTTTGTTTTGTTTTAATTTTGTTGTATGTATGTTTATGTATGTTTTGAGTGTGTGAGGACCCCAGGAAGAATAGCCAATGCTCATGCTAGTGCTAATGGGAATCCTAAAAAAGACATAAAGACATATGTATATCCTGTTCCCAAGTGAACATGTCAAGATGTCACATATTTAGTAAATGTGGCCTTAATCATCTGCCCTATACAATATGTTCTTACAGTAACTAAAGGTAACAGAGACCAACTCTCACCGTCGTGTTGGCCGTGGATGAGGTTGAGTGTCCCGTCCGGAGCTCCGGCATCCTGCATCATCTTGGCCAGCAGCATGGCGCAGCCCGGCACCCGCTCGGACGGCTTCAGCAGGTAGGTGTTGCCAGACACCATGCCCATAGGGAACATCCAGAGAGGGATCATGGCGGGGAAGTTGAAGGGTGCAATGCCAGCACATACCCCGATAGGCAGGCGGTAAGTGTAGGTGTCCATGTCTTTGGTGATGGAGGGCAGGGTCTCACCGAGCATCAGAGAGGTTATGCTGCAGGCGTGCTCCACAACCTCTGCAAAAACAATAAACATAGATTTATTTGTAGCATACAAACTGTGTGTGTGTGAGTGTAAATGATCTGCTTTACTGAGTGTGTTGACTGTATGGAAGTCCAGACAATGTCTAAAAAACTATTTCTGAAAATGATTTAATAAGAGATTAGGCTTCTTCAATGTAGAATATATTGTTCTGGTGAAATGAGTGAAAGCTGAATCAGATATATTTCAACAGTCAAAAAAAGAATTCCATATTAATCCCACATTAATAACCAGCAATCACTTGTGGCAATCATTCAAAGGCTTCAGAAAGAAACTGCCCTTTGTTCTGGTTTAGTATCACTTATTAACTACTCCTGCAACCACAAACTGAAAGCCTGCCTAAAATGTAGCATGGCTTAAACGCTTACATATTTGTTGCCCTTTGTAAAGGTGCAATATGTGCACGTGTGTGTCCGCGTGTGAGTGAGTGAGATAAGCTTACGCAATCCTCTGAACACATCCCCCTCGGCATCTGCAAGGGTCTTGCCCTGTTCCAGTGTGATCGACTTGGCAAGTTCTTTCTGAAACAAAAGTTTGGGCCCTTCTTACTCCTTTTCTTAGATGTTATCTGAACTAAAGTTTTATTATACAGTTTAAACAGTAGGCTCTGAAATAATGTGGAAATATTCAAAAAGCAAATTTGCAAAAAGTAGTGAATTTAAACTTCAAGTTGAACAGTCCTAAATGGTAGTGTCTTGTTTCCAGTTGCACCTTATTCAACCTTATACCCTCTGACTTACAATGTTGTCCTTGATAATCTGCTGATAGCGCAGAAAGACCTGCTGCCGGGCCAAGATGGAGGTCTCAGACCAGGAGCGATAAGCTCTGGAGCAAGAGTCCACGGCAGCCAACATCTCCTCCTGGGTGGCTTTGGGTACTCGGGTGATCACCTCATTGGTAGCCTGCAGAGGAGAAAAAAAAGGAACGTGTAAATGTACGTTATTATTCTAAAGATTACTTTTTTCAACCTGCAGGGAATGTTGGAGTTCATTCACATTAGGAATGGTAACAGGTCAATCGTAGCATATGTTTAACTTAGATATGTGAGCTTTCCTACACTTGCAGGTCAGAGTTCATCAGTAACACATTACTTGATTTCCCCATTTAACCCTTAAGAAAACATTTATGATTTTTAGGTGATGACTTGTAATCCAAGTGTTGCTGAAATGTAGTAAATATTCCCCTATGACAAACAGTTTTTTGTTATAACATGTTTTTTTCATAATTCTAAATTAATTTTTAATGTGTTAATACGTAATGAAAGATAATGTGAATGTGCTTTAATAGATAGGCCAAATACACATTTCGACATTTGCAAATTTTTCTAAAAGTTATTGGAGGATGCTCAACTTCTAAAACCAGTTTATACCAACAGGCAAGGACATTATCTAACACGTGAGATTAAGCAACTTCATAGATTTTGCTGTTTAAACCACGTTTGAGCTACCAAACTACAGTTTAGCATAACGATGTACAGTACAGTTTCTTGATCCAGGACAGGTGGAATACTTACAGGATTGTGTATATCCAGCCATTCTGAGGTTTTGGATTCAACAAACTTCCCATCAATGAATAGCTTGGTGGTGGGCTGTGGGGAGAGATGTAACATCATGTATAGTTGACCTTAAAGATAGCAGGTTAATGATCAATGTATGAGATTTGATGTAAAAAGTGTAATTGCAGCCTGACAATTAAGTGTAAGCCGTTCTCAACTCACCACTGAGGAGTAGCACATGCGGCCAACTTGAAGTGGGACCTGAGAAAGAAACACAGTAGGATGTCTGAATTTACAGATGCAATGAATATCATCCACCTGTCTAAAAACAATAATCCTAGGTTTGGCTACATACTTTGTAAAACGTTTAATACACATAACCAGCTCCTTCCAGACTTTTAGACTGTGTTTGCAGACTGGAGGCTCACAAGATTAATGAGCAACTAGGCCTATGTGTGTGGAGACAGAAATGGCTTGAGGACAAAGTCAAGTTTATTGAAGTAGAGTGAAATCAAATGTCAACACAGAATAGTAAGCCACTTGCTTCATACTATAAATTATCTCATTAAAGTTGATGCATTATCAAAATGTTACATAGAATATCCTCTAAAGAGAAGTTCATATGTGAAACAAATGCCTAAAGCAACCCAGACATAAATCCTGCAGCACATGACTTACTGTACTGTAAACAAAGTGAGCTGTCAAGCTTGCCTCCGTCATTTGCAACTGAGGGGAGAAATAAACCATAAAATACTTTGATATCTTACCTTTGCCTTTAGCGCTGATCTTAATGCGGTGGTCGCCATAATGGACATGTTACTACGAACTTGTTTGGTCCAACTCCGCAGGTAGGACGGTGCAATAGAGTCTGTACGCAGACCGCAGCAAGGGGGGCGTTTCCTAAAGGGTTATGAGCCCCGCCCATCACGTATTTCTTAAAGGTATGACGCTCTGTTTCTCATTTATTTTAATGCTTTGAATGAATCATAAAGGAACTTTGAAAAATAATAATTATAATTAATTTGCATAAAGAATGAAGAGTATACAACCCACAGAGAAGACAAATTAATTGACCTATTGACAGATCATAATGAATACAGAGTCAACCCTAACCCTAACCGTAACCCTAACTCATAAATTGTAGGCATATCATTTTTTACTGTTTGTGCAGTGGTAGTAATTATTATTCAAATCAATCAACTACGTTTTATGGAAGATATTGCTGTATATCATTTAACAACATGAGTAGAGGTTTCTGTACACCTAAAATACTGAAGTTGAAGTTACTGTCCTGATGTGTATCATTCGTTTGTTCGTGTTGTGTCTGGTGGTAAGATTAATTAATTAATTAACGTATTTATTATTTTTGAAACATTACAATACACATCAAATACTAAATATGAAATGTATACTACATACCAATACATTGTACAAAAAAATATAATAATAATATAATATATATAAAATATATACAGTACATACAAAGAGGAAAGTCTTCATTAAACATAAACATTTTAACAATTCTGATGCCTTCTTGCAATTTTCAAGCTAACAAACAACTTGGTGGCTGTTTCCCCAGGTGAACTTCTGTACATGAATGGGGTTTCTCAGCCCAGAAAATGTTCTTCCAACAGCAAAAATGCCCTTTTTGAGGTCTAAGCATTGGGATGGAAGATGGTGATTAGAAGTAATATCAGGAACAGATGATGAGTGACGTCGATCCATGTGGGTCTTGAGGTTTTTCATATATAATTCAGTTTTGGCCCTTAACTGGACTACTTTGCTGCGACTGATGGCTTGGAGTGGAGTGGAGGCTACAGATGCTGTGGCAATTTGGGAGGCTGCAGAGGTGACAGGGTAGGCTGAGGAGGCCACCGTGGAGGCGGAGGAGACAGAGGCAGCTACCGTGGAGGCTGAGGAGGAGACAGTGGCGGCTGGTGGGGAGACAGTGGATAGATTACATTATAGCAGTATAGTTGTATAATACATTTTTTCCCATGTTTTGTTTAAGTTGTCGTTAGGGGGAATAAGGTTATGACCACTGCTTCTGGTGTGTTCATGTGCATCACTTACTCTGGCGAAGCGATCCAACGCTGCAGGCTGCCCCTGCGCACTTCTGAACATGTTTCAGAATAGTGGGCTGGGTTCTGATCTCCCCACAGTAGCAGCAGTGGAAATGTGAGGATTTGCAACACACACCATTGCACCTGTACATTGTGAATCCTACAAAGAGAAATCCAGTTTACAAATGACTTCATTCTTAAGGCAATATAAAAATGTAAACTGTATTCAAATTCACGTTAGAATAATATTAGTTAGTAATAGTTAATTGGTTGGACTAACTAAAATTAGTCAACTATTTGTACATTTTGGAAGATCTGCAACATTTATTTAGATTAAGAAATACCTCCATGTTTAACAGCCGTTCTTCTATGGGTCTGCAGATGTGCCACAATATGGCCATAGTCCCCCACCTTGCTGCAGAATGTGCACTTGTACTTATTAGGGCCTTCACAAAGGGGTGTTAGAAGGGCATCCCCCTTGTAAACAGTTGGGTGAATCTGGAAGAAAATGAGGAATTGTTTACTATTCAAACTGTTTTTATTTGCACTTTCAACAGTAACCATTCATATCACATAAATGACAGGAACTTTTTTTTAATGAGCTTCGATATTTATATTTTAATTGGATTGCTTATTAGTTTATGCAGCTCAAGGGGTCACATAATTTGTATAAAATAACTAGAGTTTTTGCTTATCGATATTAGGTAGTTTTTATTATGTTACATTCTTTAACCTGTCTTTAATAGTGTTAGGTGAGCTATTAAGCATGTTAGATGACCAGTGACTCTTATCTAATCATATTACTTTACCACATTTCTGATGATGCCATAACTAATGTTACATAATTATAGAAGACACATCCGAAGTGTTATTTTTACACAGGGCCGTGGGAAGTAGGGGTGCTGAGGGTGCTGCAGCACCCCCTGGTGGAGGACAGGGGATCTGCACTTCCACAAGATATAATAAAAAAAAAACGAATTTTCAGCCTTGATGTAACAACATTCATAATTAAGTAAAGATAACACCCTTTTCCCCGGTTACATTTTCCATTTGCCCTGTACGATGGGCGCTGTGAGTGATGAAGTGGGGGATGTTGGCTTAGCAGGCGCCCGCAGCTCACAGCCAAAGTGAGAGAGATAGAGAGAGGGGATACCGCGGTACCGGCGGGGATTGTTGTTAGCTTCTGCTGCGCTAACGGATATAAGAAGCTGTTTCTACAATAATGTGGAGGGAGAGTCCTCTCCTGTCAGACTGAGAGGCTCAGTGAGGTAAAGGACTCTGAGAGCCCTCAGAGTCCTTTACCTCACTGAGCCTCTCAGTCTGACAGGAGAGGACTCTCCCTCCACATTATTGTAGAAACAGCTTCTTATATCCGTTAGCGCAGCAGNCAGGCTCGGTAACAACACTGATTTGTGTTACCAAAGCTGATCATCTAATGGACCTAAGGTTAGCGTATATGCTGTGATGCTAAATGGTATGGATTCGGATAGACAACATGGCTAGCTTGGTTGGTTGAATTGAGTAATAAGATGTGCGGTACTGATTAAGGTTGTAACTGTAACAGTTTGTAACTACTGGTTGTAATGAACCAGACGAGAGACGGACGCATCCTTTCAGTAAATGTCGGCTGCTAATCAATATGTAAAAATAACACTTCGGATGGGTCTTCTATAATTATGTAACATTAGTTATGGCATCATCAGAAATGTGGTAAAGTAATATGATTAGAGAAGAGTCACTGGTCATCTAACACATGCTTAATAGCTCACCTAACACTATTAAAGACAGGTTAAAGAATGTAACATAATAAAAACTACCTAATATCGATAAGCAAAAACACTATAGTTATATTATACAAATTATGTGACCCCTTGAGCTGCATAAACTAATAAGCAATCCAATTAAAATATAAATATCAAAGCTCATTCAAAAACGTTCCTGTCATTTATGTGATATGAATGGTTACTGTTGAAAGTGCAAATAAAAACAGTTTGAATAGTAAACAATTCCTCATTTTCTTCCAGATTCACCCAACTGTTTACAAGGGCGATGCCCTTCTAACACCCCTTTGTGAAGGCCCTAATAAGTACAAGTGCACATTCTGCAGCAAGGTGGGGGACTATGGCCATATTGTGGCACATCGGCAGACCCATAGAAGAATGGCTGTTAAACATGGAGGTATTTCTTAATCTAAATAAATGTTGCAGATCTTCCAAAATGTACAAGTAGTTGAAAACACTTAGGTAAAACATAAACAGCCTGTTTTTAAACGCGATCACCTAGCCTTTTTAGGAGACGAACACCCGTAAGAGTTTAGAGACGAACACCTAGCAGAAAAACTGTGTGTGCCTCAAAACTCCTGTTTGAAAGGCGGGTCAGCAGCCGGGCGATTTTAAGAATATTGAGACAGTGAGCGCAATAAACAGCCGCTTTGTTGCACTACCGGGTTATCTCAGACAAACGGTTCTGGTGTCGGTTCCGCGCCCGAAGCTAGGGTTCAATCCCCCGCAAAGGAATACCGCCGCGACAAGGATAATTCCCCCCGCCGCATAAGGGATGATCCCCCCGAACTTAGGATTTCCCAAAACTCGGGGCCGGGGTGTATGAAAGACAATTTCCAATAATACTGCGAGGACAAAGAGTAAACTAAGAATTACGGAAACTTACTATAGTATTTGCTTAAACATTTTTTACGTTATTAATATTAATTAAACGTATCTTACTTGCCTCAATAATGTTTGGGTGTCTCTTCTGTTTAATTAAACTGCGATGAACTGTTAGTATTACTTATGTCGTAATAGTTAAACTATCAAATAGTATTGTAATCCTATGTAAATTTTTGAGTATTACAATCCGTATAGTACAACAAATGACACACAAACGGTCACCATATTAACTAATAAGTTTAGTTAGTTGAAATGGTAAAATAACCCTTACTATAACGACCGATATAGCTAAATTGTTGTACTCATGCTCCGCAAAAAAGACGTGTGGAATTCGCTTGATGTGGGAGGACGTTGCCACGGCGACTTCAAATTGACAGGACTACTGACGATAGTAAGTAAACGAAGTACAACACAGACCAACCATTCTAATTAATTTAAATTGCATAAACAATAAAAACGTTGTAAGTGTGAGTGTAGTGTTTATGGATTTGTAACCTTTACGATATCGTGTAATGGTTTTATGTAACATGTTCCGTTTTATATATGTCATGTTTTTTTCTCCTTTCGAGAGAGTCAATTTGTATTTGTAAAAAATAACATTGTATTTGTAAAATAACTCTACTGTTATCTTGTTCTCTACAAGACGGATTAACCTTCGGGATGGGGTAGTCCGGTAGAAAGTAACCATTCCACGGAGTGTCGGGGTAGTATTTGTGTCGCAGTTACGACGTCTTACGGACGGTCGCTAGTAGAAAACGAACTCATGTAAGGGCGTTCCTCAAACAAGGAGACGCGGGTACAGGTGGACAATCCGGAAAGGCTCGAGGACAATGTCCCGAACGCCGGTGAGAAGACGTCGACCTCTAGACCGTTGCCCCTGGAGTTAACCGAGGGGTAGCCTCCCTTCGCTCAGGGGTGTGCCTGAATTATATAAGTAATTTAATTTGCTATGGGAAATGATACGGTACTTAGTATACAACCGAATACTCAATAGCCGTATCCTAGGCTGTCCTCCCTTAAAAAGGACCCGCGTTTGTAACGGTTTTCAAGAGTTACCATACTCGCGAAACCGTTACAGAGGTACAAGAGCATTGTGCGGGTAGGAAGTCTTGTGACCGGTTAGAAAAAGTGTTCATTTCTTGTTTCACCGTACCCAGTTTCGCCGGAGGGGCGGGTCCACTATCCTCTTAACAGGAGTCATGACACCGGAGTTAGTCTAAGTTGTCTTCAGAGTTGTGTAGGTGACCAGACGATGCAGCCTGAAATCGCTTCTCAAGTCCGCCACAGACTAAGTTCACGGGTAAAACGTACCTGACAACTACTCGGTGTACTTAAAGAAAACGCGAAGGAGCCTGGTACCTGTGACGGTATAAATAAAAAATACAGTAATTGTATGTCTGTGGAGAGGGATTGACGCTTATTTATACTCTCACGTACATATTAGTTTCAGATCTTGTATTTGAGTGTATGTACTAGGCGTGTTGTACGTTTTTACAGTTTGGAATAATTTGATGTCACTCGGTGACATAAAGTTCTGGTCGAAAAGAGGAAAGACTGCATCTTGTGTAGAATGAAAACACAACAGTCTTTAGGTTAAAGTAATGGGTTGGATATATGCTGTCTTGGAGGAGGAAGTTCACGACCTGCCCAGACCAAACCTCTTCATCTGTACATATAGTCTCTGGATTGTACTTATGTGCTTTGGGATTTATTAAATGAAGAAAAGACACTTTTAAAGACTACAGGGCCGCGACGAACGGTTAAGTTTGGAGCTGTTTGTCTGAAACCCCGACCAAAAGGGCCTTCCACTGTTTTGGAAGCACATGTACGTTAACCCCAAAGAGCTCCCGGGTCCTTTTACAATGAAAGGTTTGTCGTTTTTACGGGAAAACTGCCAGCCATTCGTAAACGCCCTACCTTCTACCACTTGATCTTCATTCATAGTCCGTCTGTCTACGTACCCTCACTGCAGCCTAGGTACACGCCAAGAACTCCAAAAAGTATAATGCCCTCGAAGTCAAAAATGTGGTGTTCCCGTACACACAGGAAAAGACCCGGAACTGGACCCTGATGAAACGGACGCTCGACCTACCCAACCTCACCGCTCACCTCCAATGTCTACCGACACCGTTAGGAACCCCTCCGGGACGTTCCTCCCTGTAGCCATCCCGGACTCCTCCGGGGTGGCACTCTAGGAACACCCCTCTGTCCACCCATATCTAATGTAATATCGTCATAATAACCATATTATTGTAAAAAAATGGTAGAAGAACCACATTCAACCAGAAAATCCCCCCTATACCAAGTACTCGGTGACGAAGACGCATACAAGTCACGTAGTGAATGAGACCGCGTTCGCTCCAGGTTACGACGTCCGACGACGCCCGGTTGACTACAAATCAGACGACCCCTCTTCTTCCTCTGTCCTCCTCCATGGCGACCTCCAACACCTCCTCGATGGCACGGGCCGACACCTCCTCCGGATGGCAAAGCCGCCGACAACCTCCTCTGTCCTTCCGCCCGGACTGGCACGCGTCCGCTCCTCCTCTGTCCACCGCCGATGGCAACCCCATCCGACACGCTCCTCCGGATGGCACCGCCGCCTGATGGCCACCGCCCGCCGATGGGCACCGCCCGACACCTTCCCTCTGTCTCCGGATGGCGACCTCCCGACTCTCCTCTGTCACCGCCCGACCACAGCCTCTGTCACCTTGATCTAATGTACATATCGGTCATAATCAACATGTTATGTAAGAAAGGGTACAAAACACAAATTCAACAGAAATCCCTTATTCCAATTACATGGTGACGAAGGAACAATCAAGTACACGTAGTGAATGAGACCGCTTCGCTAGGTTAGCGACGGTCCGATCCGGGGACGGCGTGAAAGACTTGTACCAAAAGTCTTAATCAACCCCGACCGCAAGACCTA